TGTTGTAATACCTATTAATAATATATCAATAAATGTACAATATTTAATAAACAACCGTAAATGGGGACATCACAACCAGCACAAATAAGTAGTGACTCGTCAATTATAAAGACATAGATCAGCATAATTGTCAAAGCGATGCACTACTTATAGTCATGCGAGTAACACACAAGACTCCTCTCTCTGGGACCGTGTGGAAGAATGTAAACGATTTTCAAGGAGAAGGCCGTCTTGTGTGAAGTGTTGTTCCCATCACTGCCGTGTACGTGTAAGCATTATATTTTTTATTTATTTATTTATTATTATTTACTACCTGTTAGACCTTTGGTGATTATTGTTATTTTAGAATATAACAGTACCTACGTACATTTGCCTAACATTTCTATTTGTTGATAATAATAATTATTGAATCATTCAATAAATTTCAAATTATAAAGTTTTAATTTAATACCTACCACTAATTATTTTAGACTCTGCTTGATCTATTACATACCACAAATGATGGAAGGTGTATATTTGCTGATGCTAGATTAAATAATGGTAACCTGTCTGATGAAGCTCAAAACTCACTAACAAAACTGATCATCAATCATTTATTTCAAGAACAGAACAGGTAATTTTTGAAATCTAAATCAATTAAATTTTCAATTTAAATAGTTTTAAAGATTTTTATGATAAATAATTAGATGAATATCTACTTAATTGATATTTTGTTGTAAATTAAAATACAAACAAAACTTATAAGTCACAATTTATACTACATTTTTAAATATTCCTCTTTTAATTTTATAAATATGCTATTTGGGTAGCAATTTACTATATATATATTTATTTTTATGTCTGTAGGGGAAGCGATATTTATTTCCATAAAATAGCAGATCTAATAGTTGAAATTTTTCCAAAAGAAATAAAGGTATGTCGTATGTTTCTTAATAATATATTGTATACATTATTTTATACTATGTTATACAATATATATAATTTTGTCATATATTATGAATATTATGCTACTCATTATCAGTAGCAATATTATTAATTGATCTTTATGGATATCTAGGTAATATTTTTATGTAGGTAGGTGTTTTGTAAATTCCTTTATCTATTAAAATATTGGTGGACACTTATATAATATATCATATAACGAATAATAAGTGTATACATTTTATTTTGGTTTAAATTTATTAAATTTAATAATAAAGTATACATAAACTATAATAAAATTATAATATTTTTTTTTTCTTTAAGAGTATATACTTTATACCTGCTAGGCATGAAGGAACTAGTCAAACCCATAGTAAAGGTAAACTTGTAGAAAGATGGAAGAATGTGGCTAGAAAACTCAGAAGTTTAGGTGCGATTGACTACGAAAGAGGCAGAAAAGAAAATATAAATATTCCAACATCATCACATCAATCTTTTTCTGGTATTATAGTAGTATTTAAAAAAAAGTTTAAATATCTAGTAAATTTGTTTTATTTTTAAAATTATATAGAAGAAGTTGAATGTACAAAATTATGGTTGAAAAATGATGGGTTATCAGTCCCATTTGAATTTTGATGATATTTTAATAAATAAGTGGATACTTACATACGAAATTCGCAAGGCAGATGTTTTTGGACCATGCTCACGTAATTTATCTTCCGTTTTTGAGTTATGGCCATTAATTTGTAGTCCAAAGGGGTATTTATTGGTAAGAAAATAATAATTCTTATAATTAATAATATAATATATTATATTATTGTTAAAAAATATTTTTAAGGTTGCTGAAGATTTTAAAATAGGCTATCCTGATACTATACAATTATTTGAAGACTGGAATGTTTTTATTAAGACTTGGTCAGATTTTACAAAATTATTGATTACTTTGAGAAGAGGATCTATTAAAGATAAACATGCTCGTTCACTTCTTATACAATTAGATGCTTCAGATGTAAATGGAAGTAAGAGTACCTATATTTTTATTGAAAATTGGTCTTCAGTACCTACCTATTTTTATTTTTTATTTTTTATAAACATGAATTTGGTTTTAGATTTCATGGTATCTGAAATTATCAAACTTTTATTATTGCCATATTTGATTCCAACGAAGACACAAATAAAAAACTCCTCTGCTAATACTTCTAACAAAACCAAATTTTGGAAACCATCTTTGGAGGAATCAGCGGCTGCATTCATTTGTCACGTTACGGTTAGTATTAATTAATTTGCTCAAAAAAATTAAAAATTAAAAAACTAAATTGTTAACACTTACAGAATCTTATTGAACTTAATGAAGAAATTCTTAAAAGGCGCAAAAAGTATTCTCAATTTGGAGCAACCATACAGCCGTACTTGATATTAGTTGGCAATGATATATATTCAATAAATACATGCTATGTGAGAGTGAATGAACAACTATGGGCTTTTGAATGTCCACTCAAAGCTTTGGACGCCTGCTTCAAAATATATTTTGCATTAAATTGTGCGTATTCAAAAGAATGCTATGAGACATGGATGATAATACAACTTCTAGTTTATAAGATCAAAACACCGTTTGACAAACCAACAGCAATTATTAACACTATACTAAATAAATTTTCAAATGTATAACTTTAAACATAATATTATAATCTTAAGTCTAAACTATAAAACTTAAACTACAATCTTAATTTAAAATAATGCAATAGTTTGCTACTTATATCTAACTTTTATTTCATCAGATAATTATATAACTAAAATTTCAATCATGTTTAATTGTTTTTTATGTACTGAAAATAAATTTACTTCTACAAACCAGTATATATGGCATCTAAAGGTTTATCACAACTTAGATTCTCAATCACTTTATACATGCAAACAGGATAATTGTTTTAGAGATTTTCTCGGCTTACATAAATTTAGGCAACATTTAAATAGAACACATGCAAATAAAAGTAATTTAATTACACAACTGAACGTAGAAATTGATGGACCTTTAGAAAATGATTCAGGTAGTACTGCTTTTGATCCAAATATTACAAATGAAAATAGTTTTGGAAAAAATACAATTAATTGCACGTTTAAAGATATTGTTACAAATAATGTTTCAAGTTTTATTGCAAAGTTATATTCAAAGCCAAATGTAACTGGTACATTACTTCAAGAAATAGTTCAAGGAGTTAATGAATTATTTTCCAATGAAATTATAACTCATTTAAAAAAAAAAGTTTTATCTGTTTTAACTAACTATGATACTTCTAAAAAAACTGAAATAGAGGAAATGTTTAATGTTCTCGAAAATCCTTTTTTAGAGTTCAAAACCGAACATTTGCGAATAAAATATTTTGAAAATCATAATTTATTTTTTAAACCCACAACAGTAGTAGTTGGCTATATGAAACAAAAAAAAAGAGTTGAAGGAGTGGATCGTTTATTAATGGTACCTGTTCAAGGTCATTTATTATCTTTTAAAAGTAATTTAAAATCATTTTTTGAACTGCCAGATATATATGAAACTGCCCTAAAATTCACCAATGATTCTTTAAGCAGTACAGGTATATTAACTTCATTTTTAAATGGTTCCACATGGAAAAAAATTAAATGTTCATTTTCGGATAAAATTGTGTTTCCCATTTTTTTATACTACGATGATGCAGAAATGGGTAATCCACTTGGTTCCCACTCAGGAATTCATAAGATGGGATGTGTATATTATACAGTCCCCTCTCTACCACCAGAATATCTTTCATCATTGGATAATATTTTTGTTGGTTATTTATTTCATTCCCAAGATCGAGGAACTTTTAAAATAAATAATAATGATATGTATAAGGCTCTTATTAAAGAGTTGATAGATTTAGAAACAAATGGCATTTCTATAACTGTAAATTTGAAAACCTATCAAATTTATTTTGCTCTTGGATTAGTCCTAGGTGATAATTTAGGACTAAATTCAATTCTTGGATTTGTTGAGAGTTTTTCAGCCAATCACTACTGCCGAATTTGCCGTTCTCCAAAATCGGATATGCAAAAAATGATTTATGAATCCTCTGAGATTCTTAGAAATGAAATAAATTATGATACAGATATTAATTTGGCTGATAGTTCACAAACCGGTTTAAATGAATATTGTATATTTAACAACGTTCCCAGCTTCCATGTAACAAGAAATTCAGTTAGTGATTTTATGCTTGATATCACAGAAGGGGTCGCTCGTTATGATATGGCTTTCATCATAAAAAATCTAATTGATTTAAAATATATAACTCTTGAGATCATGAATAGTCGAATAGAATTTTTTAATTATGGTGTAACTGAAAATAAAAATTCTCCACCAAAAATAAGTTCTACTAACATAACCAATGGATATATAATCATGTCTTCTTCAGAAATGCTGTGTTTAGTGAGGTACTTTGGTCTTATTATTGGTGAGTTAGTGCCTAAAAAGACTGAAGTTTGGCGTTTATATATTTTACTACGTAAAATAGTGGATATGTGTACTGCTCGACAAATACAACCAGAGTGTTCAGTTCAGTTACAAGCATTAGTAGCTGAACATAATCGATTATATTTGTCAATATCTAAAGGTACCCTTAAACCCAAATATCATTTTCTGGTACATTATGGCCAACTGCTTCTTAAAAATGGACCGCTTATTTTAACTTCTTCAATTAGATTTGAAGCAAAACATAAAACAGTAAAAGCAATTGCAAATGCTGTATCTAATCGAATTAATTTAGGTCATACATTATCTAATAAAATACAATTGCAAATGATCAGTCGCTTTTTATCTAATTCAGGTTTAAAACTAGACTTAAATTATTCATCTGGTTCCAATGTAGTATCACCTTTTATTGAGTTTCCATCAAATATAATTTTCAATCTACCACCAGAATTCAAATGTAATTCATTCTCTCCAGTTTGGTTGGAATATAAAGGTTTGATGTATAAAAAAGATATGCTTTTAGTTTTAGAAATAAATTCTGCTGCTGGAGGCTGTTTATTTGGGGAAATCTATAAAATGTTGGTCAATGAAACCAGAGTTCCTTATTTTATAATAAAGCCAATGTTGACTGTTGGTTTTGATGAACATTTTTGTGCCTATGAAATAAAAAATAATTTAAACTCAAAACTGATTGGGTGTTATATGTATGAATTACCTGATACAACGCCAACTATTGCCAGAGTTCTAGGCAATGGTAAACTTTATGCCTCATTGAGGTCAGGTGCATAAAAAACTTTTAAATAATACTATATTAATATTCTTATTTTTTTTTTTATTTTGTTATTCTACAATAGTTGTATACTTATTACCTACCCTATAATATTATGTTTGTATATTTTAAGTAAATAAATGTAGGTACCATGTATTTAATAACATGTGAAATAAAATATATTAATATTGGCAAAGTAATGTATGAAAACATTAATTGTATACAATATTATTATTTTAGGTAAAATGTATAAAGTATGTAAATAAAGTCAAGAACTTTGCATTTTATTCCATAAAAAGCATATTAAGATATTTTTTTTCTATATTTTATGCGACAGTTATATACCCACTTAAATGTCATCCATATCATTGTAGGTGGTAGGCTAGTGGTATTAGGCGTTAGGTAGATTGTTAAACAAACCCGTAGGTAGTGGTTTCGAATCCCACCTAGGGCAGATGGAATTTGTTACACGCCGAAATATTTTTTTTGCTTGTCTAACATTTTTTAACATTACATTAAGTAGTTTTAAGAATACCATTAGTTAATTCAACATCTTTACAAACTTTAACAAAATATCAGTAACTTAAGTTGAGATAACAATAACCAATATTCAACCTACCCTCAAATAAAAGTTAATTTAAAACTGCTGTAATGTTGTACTAAATATATTAAATATCATATCTACATAATTTTATTTGTTAAGATATACACAGTTTGTAGTTGTCTTAATATCAACTGATGTTGTATTCACCACTAATCACTATGAGGCATGAGTCTTACTATAGCAACGAGTAGTAGTTATTTTAACTATCGCTTAATGTGAATTCAACACCAAGCTCCTCCCAGCTCAAAATCAACACACAACTGTGTATGACATTGACACCAACGCGTGTTGAATCAACGTCAGATTTCTAACTGTGTATATTGTTTAGTTCAAAATCAATAATTATAGTTTTGACAGTGCAAATTCATGCTAATTACGTACTAATTATTGGTGTAATCAAATTATGAATAACTTAATTTTTTATCTGGCCCAGGCTGGAGAAACGTTACGTCAGCCTCTCCCGTTGATTTTTAGTTTCGTGGTAAAACAAATGTCATGCAAACTTCTAATTTTGGTCGTGAAAATGCATGCACATTCGTGTTAAATATTTGTGCAAAAAAGTTTTGATTTTGATCAGTGCAACGTATATGCAGACTTGACTTGCAGCAGTGCAAGGTAGGTCAACCTATTATAGTAAACATATATACCGAACTATATGATAATATGATTTTATTATTTGGTCATTATTCCCATCGGTAGAATGGGGATGGTTTTGGAATATCTTTTGAATAATGGTTTTTATTTTGCTAGCCGATTAGTCCGATAGGTAGGTACCAGTTATATACTACTAATAGCATACTAATCATTATACCCTGCTATTTTATGAAATGATAAAAGATTTATTTTATGACCGTAAAAATATATTTTATATAGCTGTATATTAGCTGGGGGAGGGGGGGGGAGATTTCTGTAAAATATTATATTCGGATGCTCGAACCCTGCTGCAGGACCGCACTAGAATAAAAAAAAAACCACTCGTCGTTTCGACCAGAATAAAGTCTTATTAATTATTATTACAAGTTTTAGTGTACGTGTGTCCTGCGTACAATCACTCCTTATGTGCCTACTAGAAATAGGCTACTACCTACCCATAGGTCCTGTTCGGTGCTTCTATAACTGTGTTGTAACGTTTTGTTATAGTATAATATGATATATTGTTACGAGCCACTGAGCCAGCGTGTGTGTCGTGTTATAATAATATTATGTTTATTATAATACTATTATACATAATATATTATAGTGTACCTACTGTAGTAGTTGTATAGTCTGCTGCAGGTAACGACGCTTTATTAAACTTTGAATTGGATATTGGCCAGCGGCGTTTGAGGAGAGTCTGCTGAACGTGTAAGCGCAGTAAGTCCTGTAACACACACACACACACACACACACACACACACACACACACACACACACACACACACACACACACACACACATTTATGCACGCTAACGTGCGTATTCTACAAAGCTACAGTTGCCGGCCGACAAGTTACAAAATAATATGACGTATCGTGTGTATGTGTATGGTAAACCGTAATATAATATAATATTACCGAAAGTGGAAAAAACGAAATCGGTGGCCCTTTTGCGGTAATATTTCTCGGGCACACGTCTAGAAGAAAATATTATGCAGGAAAAAACAAAAATAGATAAATTGCTTATACTTTGTTTATCAAAGTTCCAAAATGGCAGACCACAGACGCAATAATTATAATCATAAGTAAACAAAGATAATACAAACGATATCGTTCGTATGAGCAATAATATGATAAATAATACATGAATACAATATAAAGGACATACCTACCTAGTACCTATACGTTTTCCCGAATGACCGTTTTCCCAAAGGATCATTTCACGAATACTAAAATCCCGAATCCGTATTCTCCAAAGACCATTTTCCAGAATTAATTTTCTGAAGGTATTTTAAAATGTTATTTTAATATATAGGTCATAGATGTATAAATTGGACGGTGCCAGGTAATGTCTATGCCCTATATATAGTATGTAATAATATTATATTATCTTATATTTCATGTACTATATTACCTATTTGTGGTTACTGGATCGCAACAGACGATAGCGAAGGTTATAAATATTTTTTTAAGTCGGTATTTTCGACAACTGCTGTAATTATAGGAACAGTAAAATCCAACGGATGACCAATCTGATGAATTTAGGAACACACGGTATATTGTAGATAATAATATGTAATTCCGTGTTTATTACCAAAAATAACAATAAGCCGATGAGAATTACACGAAATAATTGTTACGTAAACAAACGCTGCAGGCATTTCGGCCGATGGCAATGCTCCGATGACGTCGTCGGATGGACACTGTCTTTTTCAACGTCATCTGTTTGTACTTGAATACATAAATTACACACACGAGCGTATGCACGCAACTGGTAAAAAGTAGAACTGCGCACGCGCAATGATCATCGCGAGGCTCGATTTTCATCGCCTATGAAAATCTAAAAAATAGATGCGGTATAGACTGGTGTTATGGTCAACCCGCAAGTTCAACATCAAAACACATATCAATCAGTTGTCATTGACAGCCGGGGTGATACAAAAGTCGCATCATCCAAAAAAATTACCACTAAACCCGCTACTGTAGTAAACTTATTTCAGGAAGTTATATTTTTCTACGACCCGTGATGAAAATTAATATAGTTGTAGCAAGAACATAATATCAGGATACTGATATCTGTTACTATAGTAGTAAACTTCGTAGAGGAAATGTTTAAATGTGTATACTGAGGCTACTCCGCGAGTATTCAAAAATTCGAATATTTGTTGTAAAAACATTTCGATACGGAACCACTGACTCTACAGTCTACAGTGATAAAAATCTTGGTTGTTTCCTTATTATCTTGGACATTTTCGAGGCCGAAGGTACATCGGTTTGCTCATAATATAAGAAATCAAGTTATTGATCACTTAAACTGATTTACACGCCTGTGTATTATAATTGTTACATTTTTCCTGAGCAAAGTCAAGTTGTACCGCCGGATTTTAGTTTCGTCAGACAACGCACGTGGCAAGCATTTGTGTAAATAATTCAATAAAAAAATTCCTAGAGACTAGAAATGTTTTTTAATAGTGAAAAATAAGTCGAACTCTAAAAAATAATTATTTATAGCTGTCGTTAGTCGTTACGATACATAATGGTTTTATTAATAATAATATTAGGTTATGTATGTTATAATATTTAAATGCGTATTTTAGTGCAAGCACAGATACTATTTTGCAACGAATAGCTCTAATGTAGTCTATATTGATAGGTAGTTGTCATGATAGTTTTGTTTTTCTGTTTTATCTCGGTGAACACAATATTGCTGCCATATGTATTATACGATCGAGCGAGTGAGATGATCGATTTTTTAGTGTACCTACTGTAGTAGTTGTATAGTCTGCTGCAGGTAACGACGCTTTATTAAACTTTGAATTGCAACACACAACTGTGTATGACATTGACACCAACGCGTGTTGAATCAACGTCAGATTTCTAACTGTGTATAAATGTTCTCAAGATCATTTAGAAATGTTATTTTCTAAGATCCGCCAAAGACTTGGTAACAACAACAATCCTAATGTTGTTGAGTTAAAAACATCATTAAAAAAAATGTTACTAAAAAATGCGATTTCATCATCTTATGCTGCCAATTGTATGGCTTTTGACAATACATCGGAAAGCATTTTTGAAATACGTTGGCGTAAAAAATCTAAGGATTTATTAAATACAGATTCCAGTGCAGAATCTCTTTCAAGTATTTCAATCCTTTGAAGGCCAAGATTTTGATGTGGTAAAAGATAACCTACTTTATTGTATATGCGGTTTTATTGTGAAAAACCTTATTAAAAAAATAGATGTTCTACTTGTACAGACATTTATTAGAAAACAATTTTAACGAGCATAATTATAATCATAAATACAAATATTCAATGTTGATAGATGTAAAAAATAGAGGAGGGTTAATTAAATGTTCAGATTCTGTTATCAAAATAGTTCGGTTTTTTTTTAACATATTCTTATTGATTTTACAAGCAATTTTACTTCTATAACCTCGCCTTTAACATCTAAAATAATAATTCTAACAAAAAATTATGTTTTGAATTATGCAGTTTTTAAAAATATTACTTGTTCTGAAGAAGGTTTATTTAGATAGTCATAAATTAGATTTGGGAACAATTATATGTAAAGAATATTTGAAAATTCGTTTGCATTATGTTGCCAAGACAAAAAATTCGATAGTTGTTATACAATAACCGATAATATTTATTATCTTTTATTTTAATTTTTGTTACAAAATGTATATACATACCAAGGTATTTGACAAATTTTATTTACTTTAAGTAGTACATATTTTTTTAACTAATAATTTATATATTAAAACTTGTGAATCAACCAAAAATTTAATTTGTATTGTTAATTTTGTTTAAAATAATATATATTAATAAATACATTTGGTAACTATTAATTTATATGTAGATGTTTAATATTTGGTTATATCTTTTTAAAAAATACAGATTATCTTTCACGAACTTTTCTAGAACTATAATTATTTTATTTTAACTTTTACAACTGTTATTCCAACTTCTTCTGATACATTATGTATAATGAAATTAATGTTTTACCAACTGAAAACATGGCGGCCGTTTTATCAGCTGCAGTAATGCTGGCTCCATAGTTTGCAATGGTTATCATACAAAGTACCTTCTCTGTGGAGCCAGTACGAACACCTTCACGCCAGTCAACTCTCTGATAAATTTCAATGTACCAAAATATTCTATCAGTTTTATATGTCAAATACAATCTATGTTCATAATAATCTAAAATTGACTCAGATATATTTAAACCTCATCATCTTTCATCTTGTACACCACGATCTGTGGGCTAGACCACTACAGAAGATACGTTAAATATTTCAACACAAAGAGCAGTTTATCAAACAACGATGTTGGGAGTTCTGCCGTGACGTTTTCTTCAAAAATATGCACACAACCACGACCTAATCAAAGTTCAACTCCCATGGATTTGACGTTTGTGACCCCTGCAGAGGAATCGGGTAGCAATAACTCAGCTGTTGTCGTTGGATTCAATGGCAATGTAATTAATTTATCATACGTGACCAATGANCAATTTTACTTGTGTATTCATGGTAACTAAAGTTTTCTCATTATTATTTTTATTTGTATTTATTTCTTGTTGTATTTTTTGGTAGTCACTATCTCCAACAACTCCAAATGCCCAATTATCAAATTCTCCTATTACATTTATTAGGCCTCTTTTCATTCTTACCTCGTTTTGAGAGACATTAGCGATGTGTAGCGTTTTAATAATGTTGTCTTGGTTATTTTTAATTCTGATTTAAAATTATTACAAATATTTGACACATTAGTGAGCTAAATTTATCATTATAATTTATCAAATTATTCATTTCCTCAAATTTTTCGATAAAAACGGAAATATTTACGTGTGTTAGCAGATTAAATTTACTAGAGTAAAATTTAATTTTATAAATTGGCTCGTAATAAATGCCAGGCGTCTCCACCAATAGTAACATCCCCTCTTCACCGGGCGTTCGTCTCTCGAACCCTACAGATAACAATCAAACTGCCATTTTGCTTTTGACTGTTCTATGGTCTGGGTCTTGCAGCATTGTATCAAAAATCACTTGCATTGTCTGATTCAAGCTGTTGTTCAACGTCTGGTCTTTCGATTTATCGCTCGTGAAGATCTTGACAGACGCTTCCGAATGACGCCATCTATAAACATACAAAAGTAAAAATAGAATCATACTGTTAAACAGATACAAAGGTGTTTCCAGTATTTAAATATCCTTAAGTGCAACATTCACAATATTCGAACTTTTATAATGAGTTATGACCCAGTAATTTCAACACAGTGCAGTACACTTTAACACAGCTCAAGATGTCCTACAGAACTTCAATCGCGTCTTCTGAATCAAAGGTTAGTACTTTTTTAAAAAATAACTTTTAATAACCAAAAGCAAACTGGAGGGCAGTCGTAAAATTACTCAACACTATGGTTATAATTTGTGGTTGATTGTAACATCACACATATAATATTTAATGTTTAACTAAATATTTTGGAAATCGGTTATAAATCTGCTTTTTCATTTTAGTTTTTAAAAAAATTAAACTAGGTACTATGTTTATGTTTCATAGAATGAACATTTTGAAGAACCGGCAGATGTTAAAATGAAACCATCTGCACCACCATGAAACGTGGTGCAGAAAAAAATATAGAAAAGAAACCTAAGAAATAATAGACGAAAATGATGAGATACAACATTTTTTTAATGATAGAATAAATTGTTTATTTATATATTTTGCATTATATAAATAATGTGTATGCTAGTGGAACAGTTGGTGCAAATAGAAAAAATATTCATAAAGATAATATTTTTTTTTTTTTTTAATACAGTCATATTACATATAATTATATAATATATTCGTTTAAGTTACTAGTTTTTTATCTACAAAACCCCTACAAAATATCTTTGTATAAAATAATTTGATATATTAGAACTAATATACTTTGGTAAAAATTATAGATAAGGAATTGGTTATCTTTGAACGAGCTTACAATTATATACCAATTTATTGTCAATAGGATAGAAAATTTAATTACAAGTAATGAGGAAGCTCAAATTGCTCAAAGATGGGAGCGTAGACCATATAAGAAAAATAAAATAAATATAAAATATAAGATTTTCCTACTTCGAACAAGTCTACAACCTGATGTTACTCGAATTAATAAGTTAAAACGTTCATTAATTTTATTGGAAGAAGAAAATAGAGAAAGTTTCAGTAAATATTGTAATTTATACAATTTAAATTTTTAAATTTTTTAAGGCGTCGATTAATTTCCAATATCCCATTGCTATGTGAGACTAGGTGGTCTGAAAAATATAAATCAATTAGAATATTTGATAGTAATTTTTTTGAAATCAAATCGGCTCTTAGTAAGTTGGCTACTAACTATGATACAAATTCTGCTACTAGAACAAAAGCATATCAACTTTCGTGTGCAACATCTACCATAGGGTTTATTGTGTGCTTAAAAATTATAGCCAAGTATTCTAAAATATTAGAGCCAATTGTAAACAAATTACAAGCTGTTGATACTAATTTGCATACAGTACATCAACATATACACTTAAATTTACTAGAAATATTAAAGAAGCATAGATCGATGTCAGAAGAAAATTTTAGTCTGATATTTAATGATGTAAGAAACTGTGCAATTCAATTTAACTTGGACATACAAATTCCACGAGTAGTGTCAAAACAAACTCATCGTCAAAATATTGTTACATCTACTCCTGATGAGTACTTTCGGATTTCTATATATATACCTTATATTGATTCTTTGATTCAATCCTTAGAAATTCGTTTTAGTCCAATAAATGAAATAGCATTTAAATTAGGATTTTTACACCCATCAACTATGTTGAAAATGACAAAAATAAATTTTATTGACATTTTAAAAGAATTAGACAACCATTATCAAATAGAAAACTTAGTAGAAGAAGGTCAAACATGGTATGATTATTGGGAGATGATGATAGAGTCTTCATCAATTAATGAAAAGGAAAATATTTCCTTTTTTTTAAAAGATTGTGAATTTTATCCAACTGTTAAAAAAAGTATTATTATTTATATGACTATTCCACCAACAACTTGTAGTACAGAAAGAACATTCAGCACATTACGTCGTGTTAAAACCTGGTTACGTTCAACAATGTGTGAGAATCGCTTATCCGAATTATGTATGTTAAGTTTACATAGAAAAAAAATCGAAGAACTTCATTTAGCTGAAAAAGTTGTTGATGAATTTGGGAAAAATAAAAGAAAATTGCAATTTGTGTTCAATTAGTTAATAAAAGTATTTAATTAGTATAAAAGTGTTTGATTATTAATAAAAGTATTTAATTAGTATAAAATTGTTTGATTATTTATAAAAATTAAGGCTGTCCCCCCCTGAATTTTCCCCTGCGGGCGCCCTTGTTAACTTAATTAACAGTATCATTTAATATTTTCCATACAGGCAAAGAAGCAATACACTTCATTCGAGCAATTCATAGATTGCTTGATTTTTTGAAGACTCGAAATCCTTTTGGGAAAGGTTTCAAAAAACCACTATACAGAGGGAGTATTGAAAATATGAACGAAAATATTTGACGCCACGTAAAACTTTTTTAATAGGTAGTATATGTTTATTTAATAATTATTGTTGAATATCTGTAAGTTATTCCTAAATACCTAAATAATAACATTTTATATATTCATTACGAATTGCTATTGCAGTAAAATCTGTTTTTGCTATGCCTGAAGATCTCTTTAATAGTAATTTCAATCATAAATATCTTTTAACATATAAATGTTCTCAAGATCATTTAGAAATGTTATTTTTTAAGATCCACCAAAGACTTGGTAACAACAACAATCCTAATGTTGTTGAATTAAAAACATCATTAAAAAAAATGTTACTAAAAAATGCGATTTCATCATCTTATGCTGCCAATTGTATGGCTTTTGACAATACATCGGAAAGCATTTTTGAAATACGTTGGCGTAAAAAATCTAAGGATTTATTAAATACAGATTCCAGTGAAGAATCTCTTTCAAGTATTTCAATCCTTTGAAGGCCAAGATTTTGATGTGGTAAAAGATAACCTACTTTATTATATATGCGGTTTTATTGTGAAAAACCTTATTAAAAAAATAGATGTTCTACTTGTATAGACACTTATTAGAAAACAATTTTAACGAGCATAATTATAATCATAAATACAAATATTCAATGTTGATAGATGTAAAAAATAGAGGAGGGTTAATTAAATGTTCAGATGCTGTTATCAAAATAGTTCGGTTTTTTTAACATATTCTTATTGATTTTACAAGCAATTTTACTTCTATAACCTCGTCTTTAACATCTAAAATAATAATTCTAACAAAAAATTATGTTTTGAATTATGAAGTTTTTAAAAATATTACTTGTTCTGAAGAAGGTTTATTAGATAGTCATAAATTAGATTTGGGAACAATTATATGTAAAGAATATTTGAAAATTCGTTTGCATTATGTTGCCAAGACAAAAAATTCGATAGTTGTTATTCAATAACCGATAATATTTATTATCTTTTATTTTAATTTTTGTTGCAAAATGTATATACATACCAAGGTATTTGACAAATTTTATTTACTTTAAGTAGTACATATTTTTTTAACTAATAATTTATACATTAAAACTTGTGAATCAACAAAAAATGTAATTTATATTGTTAATTTTGTTAAAAATAATATATATTAATAGATACATATTTTGGTAACTATTAATTTATATTTAGATGTTTAATATTTGGTTATATCTTTTTAAAAAATACAGATTATCTTTCACGAACTTTTCTAGAACTATAATTATTTTATTTTAACTTTTACAACTGTTATTCCAACTTCTTCTGATACATAATGTATAATGAAATTAATGTTTTGCCAACTGAAAACATGGCGGCCGTTTTATCAGCTGCAGTAATGCTGGCTTCATAGTTCGCAATGGTTATCATACAAAGTACCTTTTCTGTGGAGCCAGTACGAACACCTTCACGCCAGTCGACTCTCTGATAAATTTCAATGTACCAAAATATTCTATCAGTTTTATATGTCAAATAAAGTCTATATTCATAATAATCTAAAATTGACTCAGATATATTTAAACCTCATCATCTTTCATCTTGCACACAACGATCTGTGGGCTAGACCACTACAGAAGATACGTTAAATATTTCAACACAAAGAGCAGTTTATCAAACAACGATGTTGGGAGTTCTGCCGTGACGTTTTCTTCAAAAATATGCACACAACCACGACCTAATCAAATTTCAACTCCCATGGATTTGACATTTGTGACCCCTGCAGAGGAATTGGGTAGCAATAGCTCAGCTGTTGTCGTTGGATTCAATGGCAATGCAATTAATTTATCATACGTGACCAATGACATGGGGGAAAGTATATGCAAAGAAAGTTTAAACGATAAAGATACACAAATTGAAAAGAATAATATAATTGAGATTGACAGCGACACTGATAGTGAATTTGATTTCAACTGTGAGACTTGTTATAGTATTAGAAGTATTAAGGTGCGTTTACACGATGACAGTATCACTCGACAGTCGCCGTCACGATAGTCGCTGTCGTGAGACTTCCATCGTGTAAACATAACGACAGCTACTACCACACTGTCAACTACCAGCTGTCGAACTATCTAGCTCTGCTAGATAGTTGATAGTAATAGTTGACAGTGTGACAGCAACTTCTATCGTGTAAACAGTGACTACCACACTGTCAACTACTACCGTACGATTTTTGTATCGTTGTTATCAATTATTACTTGTTATCACGTATACCTACAAGTACAATTTTAATTTTTAATTCATTTAAATGTTTAAATCTAAATTTTAAATTTAAATAATTCAAAATGGTTTTTGATACTATTGAATTTCTAAAACATTACGAAGAGCATCCTTGTTTGTGGGATAAATGTATACCTGACTTTAAGAATCGGCAAAAACGAAATGCGGCTGAGGAAAAATTATTACCCATCTCAGGACTTTCTAACATAAAAGAATTAAGATCAAAAATCAGGAGTATAAGAGGAACATACAACCAAGAATTGGGCAAAATTAAAAATTCAATGCGAACTGGGTCTGGTGCAGCAGACATTTATAAACCAAAATTAAATTGGTTTTCATATGCTGATAGTTTTTTGAGGAAAAATGTAGAACAAGAGATTGAGACTGAATCAAATGTGGTGAGTTACAAATCTATTGTCAATAATATGTAAATAGTTCAATTTATCATCTTATGCTGCCAATTAACTGCTCCTTCTCCTATAAAATAATCCGCAAATTCTTCTCTTTTCTGACGAGCTTCATGTATGAAATTTCTTTCTTGTGTGGCACGTAAAGGTATAATGCCCTCAGATCCCACATCATTTCGCCACGTTCCAGGAATTATATTTCCACTTTCGTAATCTTCTATATCAACCGATATTGAACTAGTACTGTTACTTTTTCTTATCCAATTGTGTAAGGCACATGAAGCTTTAATTAATTTCACGGTTGTCTGTGGAGCAAGCAGTATAGGTTTTCTGAACACTCGAAAGCGGCTGGCCAATATGCCGAATGCGTTTTCCACAATACGCCTAGCCCTGCAATGCCTATAGTTGTAAATTTTTTCTCTGTCCGTTTGTTGAAATCTTCTTGGGTATGGCTTCATTAAATAACTTTTCAAAGGGAACGCATCATCGCCAACAATCACACTATTTTCTGGAATTTTTAATTGTTTAGTTTCAATTGCTTTCATCAAATTAGACTTAGCAAATATTCCCCCATCAGATTGACTTCCATAACTTCCGATGTCAATACAAGTAAAATTATAATTTCCATCAACTAAGGCTAAAATCATTATGCTGAAAGTTCCTTTGTAGTTGAAATACTGAGAACCGGTATTACTAGGTCATTGAATGACTACGTGTTTACCGTCAATTGCTCCTATGCAAGACGGAAAATTCCATTTCAGTTCAAATTCGTTAATAATATCTTGCCATTCACTTTCTTTTTGTGGTACCTTTAAAAACAAGTAAAATAAATAATAACATCACACAACAAAATTTTTCTATGAATTCTAAACAAATTTCAAAAGTTTAATAAATAAAAATATTTTTGTATTTAGTTATTACATGATGAAATCAATGCAGATGAAGCATCACAAATTATCAGTGATAAAGAAGATGAAGACAATAAACAAACTCAAGAACAGGATATACCACTACACACACAAACAAAAAAGAGAGTTTTGCAAAAAATAAACAATCCAAATAAACTTCAAAAAATTGATAATTCATTAGATTACGCAGTGAGAGCTTTTAGAGAAGTGAGTTCATCATCACGCTCTACAAATAATGAGTTCACTCTATTTGGACAACTCGTAGCTACCCAGTTGGCTCAACTACCTTTAGAAGTAGCAATTAACCTTCAGCAAGAATTTCAAATTAAAATATCTGAGGCACGGCTTAAACATATTAGTAGCTCTTCAACAACTCCATCGCTTTCATCACCTTCAACTGTAGGTCTATCATTAAATAGTTCAAAAAGTTATACGGCCATACCTCATGAACCTGAATATGAAGAAGTATCCTTCAATGAAATAATTATAGAACAACCATCACTAACTAACTACTATGCAAATTGGGAAAATGTATAATAATTCTCAATCATTATGTTATTACTATTTTGTTTATTTGAATGTATTTGATTTTTTTATTTGAGTCAAAGACTGACTAAGTTATTAGTATAAAGTATGATTTTTTGTTGAAATTAAAATTATTTTATACACTTTTTTTATTATGAAGTTGTTTAAGTCTCAACTTTTTTTTCAAATCTTTATTAATCATGAACTTTCACCTTATAATAGGGATCTCTTTTATAAAGTTAGAATATTTGCTAAAAATAATGATTTTAAATTTACGTGGTACAACGACTAGGGCTGTGCGATAGTCACTTCTAGTGGTCGATAGTCGATTGTTTTAAAACTACCGATTGTATCGATTAATCGATTGTATTAGATTTACAGAGATAGTATTGAACACTGACTAATATATTAGTCTGGAGTATCGATTAACCGATAGTATCGATTGACCGATAGTATCGATTGACCGATATATTCTATACTATAGAGTGGGGGGTATCAATTTGGAATATTATTTATTTGTTATATTCTGTGTTAAAAGTAAGGAAAATCTTCCCAGGCAATGAAGTAGATTAGTGTTTTTTGAATCTTAATACTTAAATTTTCCTAACTTTTTATAATTATAAATTATAATGTTACAAATGTATGTATTATTTAAATATATTAAATAAATTAAATTAGTATTAAATTAACTATTAAGTATCAAATACTTTTTAACATGATTTCAAAGGTTTGTGAAGTAGTTCAATAAATAAAATAAATAAATTTCCGATAGATTATCCGATAGTATTGGATAGTACCGATGTATCGATAATCCGATAGTACCGATGTATCGATAATCCGATAGTACCGATGTATCGATAATCCGATAGTATCGGATAGTATCGATGTATCGATTGTATTCGATACATCGGATGATTCTGTTTAATAAAAAACATCGATTAATCGATAGTATCGATTACTAAAAACGATTAATCGATACTATCGCACAGCCCTAACAACGACTTTAAAATATTTATAAAAAAAAATGAAAATTGTAAAGCAAATATTATATTTGATGAAACTGATTCCTTTTCTGAATTTGTAAAAACGCATAAATATGTTAATGGTAAGTTTATAAGTGTCTTCTGTAATAATATTAGGAGCATTAATGCTCATTTTAATGTATTTTTATTGTTTCTTAACAGTGATACTAACTGCTGTAAATTAGATGTAATAATATTAACTGAAACCTGGCATAATGTAGAATACTGTAATTTTAAGATTCCTGGATATAGACTGTCTTTCTCGAGTATTAAAAGAAACCAAAATGATGGTATAATTGTATTTACCAGAACACAATTGNGTCCAAGTATTCATTCTCTTATAAGAACTACCAAAAAACGTTGCTAAACGGTTTAAAAGACCAAACAAAGTTTTTGAATCAATGTTTTTACATATATCAACCATACATAAATTTAAGATGTGACTGTAACACCATATGAAGATGCTATTCTTATTTTCAGATTTTATAAAAGACTGAAGACCAGAAAATTGACCACTCATGTTATTAGCTCCATCAAATGACTCACCAATTATATTACTAAATTTAAGCCCATGTTCAAAAAAACAATCTTTAAGTAATTTATAAAGTTCTTCACCTTTAGAACTCTTTACTTGGACAATTGCAAACAGTCTTTCTTTTATATCACCATCATTGATATAACGAACACAAATAGATGCTTGGTCCATAACACCAACATCCTGGGTGCTATCCATTTTTATACTGAAGTTTTGATCACTAAGTTCATTTTTAATTTTATTTCTTATAGCCTTTAAAATTCCTGAAATTACTTTATCAACAGTTGTTTTCGATAAAAATGTAATAAGTGAACCTCGCCCTTTTGAATTTAAGTTTTTATTTTTCTCTAACCTCTCCTTCCTTAGTTTACTATTTTTAATAGCTTGACGTAAATGTTCATGCAAAATGGTATCTTTTTTGGATGCAAATTGAACCATTTCCAAAAAATTACCTTTATTTATTAAAATATCATCAAAGTTTGATAATGTTTCATTGGAAGCAGATCCCCTGTACGGTAAATTTTGACGACCAAGGAACTTGATAATTTCAAAAACTTCTTTAAGCACATGAATATTATTTTCTGTTTCTTGCCTTTTAACAGCCATCATATTTCTATTTATAAGATACTCCATAGACATTTCTTTAGAAGCTTGAAAATAGCTTTCTACTGCATTAGTATGTATAATTGATTTTTCATGTCGTTCAATAGCTGAGTACATTGATTTTAAATTTGTACAGCCACTGTTACTTGAAAAATTACTTATTCCAGAACCAAATGCTATACAAATTGAACAAAACATTGACTTGAAATCATTGTCTTCGACTAAAATAGATAACCAAGTTCTATGAATTTTTTTCCCAGAAACGATTCTATAGTAAATTTTATTAACATCAAAGTTTATATTTCCAGTGTGAGTAGGTTGAATTGGATGTTTTTTAATAAAGTCTAACTTTTGAGTTACAGTTGCATTATAATTTAGAATAAAATTAGAATTTGCATTAGTACTCTCAAAGCATTGTTCACCAATAATATCACTAGCATCTTCTGAGGTTTTTGAATCATTTAAGTTAATCTAATTTAAATTAAAGAATTAAGAGAATTAATGGAAAAATTACTTTTTAGTTTAAAAATTATTAAAATTAAAAATCATGCAATTATAATAAAATTACAAACACACATTTATATCAATTTTAAATAACAATGCATTATCATGCAATGGTTGGTATAATACCTTTAAACATAAACCACATGTGGGGCGACAATACAAAACGTACTATTTGCATTTTCGTCAAAATCGAGTTATACATTGAAATATATGTTTGAAATGACGGCGGATCGATTGGCGTCATCAGATTATGTTAAAACGTACTATTTGTCACTCAATAACCGATTTTAAAATAGTCAATTGGAGCAAAACGTACTATTTGCACAGTATACATTTTGTCAAAATGAACTATTTACTATTTGAAGCTAAACGTACTATTTGCAATAGAATCCGTGATAAAAATTTAAAAGATTTTTTCAAAACGTGCTAATTACATACATTTTTCCAAAACGTACTATTTCAGTCAATGATGCAAAATGTACTATTTTCCATGTAAATGGTATAGGACAGAAAATGTATTGTTGCAAAACGTACTATATTCAAAAATGACTGTTTCTTCCAATTTGTTTTTATTATTAAATTTTACTAAATTAGATAGTTTTAATATATGGTTAAGGTTTTTTGTTTAACATATTATCAACTTACCAACCTAAATTACAAAAAAAAAAAAATCGTTTATAACTTTTATACATTAATTATTATGCGCGCCAAAAGTTAGTGATAAGGTCTAAACAATGAAATTTAATTATTAATGATTAGTGATTACTGATTACACATAATACAATATTGAATATAATATTATATTTTTGATGCTGCTTGATGTTTTTCCTCTTTTGTTATTTGTTAATTGTTTAAATTTAATTGTTTAAGTACATATTAACGTTTACCATGTCGTCAAAAAGAATTAAATTTATGGTTGACAAGGCGAAAAACAAGGTAAGTACAAGGTACATACAGCTAGTAAAACAGTATAATATTATAATACCTGAAAAATAACATAATTTCAGAACTTTTAATCTTTTGTATACCACCAAACTATAATAAAATAAATAATAATCAATAACTATTTTATGATTTCTTTAACTCATATCTTCAGGTAGTTGATGTTGAGAAGCTGCAGAGCAGCAAAATTGTTAATAATACTAGAAACTAATGTTTATACCTCTACAATTATTATTGTTTTCTAACCTTTTAATTTATAGATATTTTTTGTACATAATATCTAGAATAGTTATCCTTATCGATGTACTAATGACATAATAATAATTATTACTAATTATTATATTATAGTTGCCCAATGATGATTCAAATTGTGGACACCTAACATTAAGTTCATTAAAAAAGAAAAGTTATCAAGTCGTTTCTAATGACAAAATATGTTCACAATGGCTACAGGTATAAGATATCAGTATTAACTTTTTAATAGTTCACAACTTTATTAATTAATCTTTATTTTGTTCATACTAATAAAATTAAAGTTTATAAATATAAGATTTAATTCAGTTAAAAGATGTATCATAATTTCTGTTTATATTCTTTAGTTAGATATTATCTTATCAAAATCACAATTTAAATACAACTGTATTTTTATTGGATATAACACTAATTCATTTTTATTTTAAGAATTTATTTTTTTAAGAATACCTATTGTTTATCCTTTTTTTGTAAGGGAATATATTATGAATATATTACAAATTAACACTTAGATTAAAGATTACATAATACACTATTAATATCTGCATATTATATTATGTTGAATTAAACTTTCTTCATCACATGTCAGATTGGACTTTAAAATAATACTGATTGATGGCATACTTATTAAGAACTATATTTTTGATTTAATTGTAGGTAGGTACCAAATATATTTTTATCCACCATAACGTTATTATTTATTTAATAAATACTTAATATTTATAAATAAAAACTTAATTACACTTCATAACTTAACTAGATGTATTCTATCATAATACAGCACCTATTAGTTGTTTTAATTTTAATAATTTTCAGTTGTAAGAAGATTGTCTTAACAATTTACAATATTTTTAACCATTCAATATAAAATAACAAAAACAAGAAAACAAAATATACACATCACTATTTTATTAAAGTCATACATTATTTAATTCAATCATATATTCTTGTTCTTTAAATGTTAATGTAACACAGATTGTTTCTTATATTAACATTTTATTAAATGCAAGATAAACGTTTTATTTTCAAAAATCATTTTCAATTTTCAATTTTTCTTTTAGGATATACCTACAACTTCTCGTAAAACTATGCAAACAATATCTGCTGATTTTGAAAAAAATAATACCGCACTTTCTAACTCAATAATTACATCTCAAAATATTGAGGACATGGATGTAGTTATTAATACAGGATTGGCTCCTTTGGAACTGTTCAAAGAAAATGATGCACTCCAAAATTATAGTAGTCCAATTATTATTCAAGTTCCTTCAGATAATGTCTTGTTTCAAATTTCTACTGCAGATCAAACACCAGATATGGATTATATTTTACCAGACATGGATAATTATTTATCACCAGCTATGGAGTCAATTTTAGAAAACTCTATTAATTCAGATCCTGAATACAGGGATCCTATCAAAAATTTTGAGGGAGGAAGAAAAAGAATTATTTTAAATAAACGAAAAAAAAAAAAATTGAGAAGAATAAACTACCAAATAATTATTTATTAAGTTGTTCTCATGTTGAAGAAATTAGTGAAAACTCCAAGACATATTCTAAAATATGCTCTATTTTAAAGCTAACACATGAAGATATTATGGTATTTAAAAATAACTTATGTGCCCTTTCATCCAAAATTGAACAAGATACATTTGTATTAACACTGATGGAAGTAAGGAAATCCAAGAGAACAAACCAAAAAAAAACTACAAGGACTGACCGTGTAGCTATAAAATATTTTATACCAAATGTAAACGGAGACATGATAAGGGTATGTGCACAAGCCTTCAGAGATATTATATCTTTTACTAGAAGAAGACTCAATATAATCTGTAAAAATTTCAATGATAATCATCAAAGCCCAAAAGAAAAAAGAGGAGGTAAACACTTAAATGCATCAGACATCGAAGTGACATTGTCAATAGAGGATCATATAAAATCATTCAAGTGTAGAAAAAGTCACCACACCCGCAGAGAAACTGGTAGAAGTTATTTGCAGCCAGGATTATCAATTAAAGCTATGTGGTCTCATTGGAAAATTTGTAGATTGAAAGAAAATTGTTCCATTGCAAGTTTAAGTAAATACCAATTTATTTTTACAACTAAGTTCAATTTGAGTTTTGGCCACCCAAGGCAAGATATTTGTTCTTTTTGTACCGAACAGTTAACAAAAGTTCAAATTGAAAAAGATGAAAATATGAAAAATGAACTTGAACTAGAATTAAAAGTACACCAAATACGAGCAAAACGGTTTTTTGAACTATTGAAGGAAGAATCACCTGATAGTGTTTCTGTATCCTTTGATATGATGCAAACTCAGCCTTTGCCTAAATTATCAGTTACTGAGGTATTTTATAGTAGGCAAGTATGGCTGTACAATTTAACTTTCGTCATAGCTGTGCCAACTCAAGGTCCAGAAAACTGTTATTTGTACACATGGACTGAATGTGAAAGTGGAAGGGGTCCGAATGAGGTGTGTTCATCACTAATAGATTTTTTAGAAAATTTAGAAAACCGACTGATGTTAAAGGAATCACCTCCCACAACTCTCAACCTGTTTTCAGACTCTTGTTCCGGCCAAAACAAAAACCAATTCACCATGATAACATTGCTATACTACATTAACCACAGAACAAAAATATTCCAAAAAATTAATCATATATTCCCAGTAAGGGGGCATAGCTATATGCCACCAGATAGGGTATTTGGGCGTATCGAACAAGTATTGAGAAAAAAAGAGTCAATTATTTCTCCATCTCAATACTATGAAATTTTTAAAAGGTTTTGTACAGTAAAAGTGTATGGTCAGGATTTCTCCATCTATGATTATAAAAGTGTGGTAAAAAATCTGGTAAAAACCAAATTTGATTTTAAATCAACCGAGCAAAAAATTTATACATACACCAAGGGAGAAAAAACTGTTGGAGTTTCCAAAACCTATGGAGGAATACCAACAAAAATCGAAGTTGTAAAAAGAAACGCTAATCTTGCTACATTGTTTAATAATCTTGTGCAGTTACCAAAAACTAACCATGTAAAGTTACCTAAGCAAAATGATGTCAAGAACTTGCTGAAATACTTCACTATTCCTGAAGACTCTACACAGTTTTATGAAGATATCTTCAAAAATAGTGAAGATGTTGGAAATGAAGAGTTAGACAATGTGTATGATGAAGATAATGATTAAGTTTACTTGGCACTACATTTTATATTTACCTAGTAGGCTAGCAGCATTTTTAAATTTAAGTGTTCTATTCTTAATTAATATTATTATTATTTTATACACAATATTAATTATTATAAAATGTTAACTATATTTTAACTTTATCAAGTCGAATGTGTTCCTTTTTATTCTATTTATTTTTTTTTAATTCAAACATTTTAAATATTTAAAACTTAATATTTAAATGTAAACTCTATTTTTATTATTCAAGTCTAAAAGTGTTACTCTAATATTTTATTTACTTTGTTATTTTTTTTTAAATTTTAATGTTTTAATGTAAACTCTATTTTACTTTTTCAAGTAAAATTTTACATTATCATTTTTATGAGTGTTACTTTAATATTTTATTCACTTTGTTATTTTTTTTTTAATTTTAAAATTTTAAATATTTAAAATTTAATATTATAGTATTATAATATTTTTATTTTTCAAGACTGAAAGTGTTCCTTTTATATTTTGTTGGTTTTTATTAATTATTAAAAGTGTTATATTAATAAATATTATACCTAACATATTGTATTCCTTTCACCTATATAATTAATAGATACTACCAGTTTCCTGTGTATTATATTATAATTTCTTAATTTAAAGAAATTCAATTGAACAAAATAATAGTGAAGTGTAATATTACACTTAGTTGAGTCAAAGTATTTGAACTTTTTAACTTAAAATTATATTAAATAATATTCATTATAAAATTAAATTTATGCAAATAGAACGTTTTGTAAAAATTTTGATCAAAACGTACTATTTGTGTTAATCAAAGCAAAATGTACTATGTGATGTAAATAGTACGTTTTGATCCAATTAAAAATGTAATAAGCTGTATTTAAGTAAAAAAAATACATGTTAAAATACTTTTGAATACAGTAATTTATTTAATAGATTTTTAACTATTTTTAAACATTTTTGCAACA